CTCTGCGCCAGCAGGGGCCGTCGTCGTCTTCTTCTCCGCAGACCGGGCTCCGGTTCTGAAAGGTAAGCTCCTAACCCTAACCCTAACCGGCTAACCCTAATCCCCATCTTTCTTCTTTTTTTTGATGAGATCTCTAATCGATCTATTCCTTCCTCCTTCGCAGGTCGGTGGCCGATGCTTCAAGCTCTAGGCGTGGCATAGAGCGAGAGCAAAGCCACCCGCACTGCCGTTGAGTCACAGTCTTTGGAGAGGCGACCATGGTGAAGACGATGGCGAGCTTCCGCTTTGGCATGGCCCCCGAGGGCGAGAACGACGACGACATCCGTGATGGCGCTGCTGCGTTGTTCGGTGTCGATCTCGAGAGACAGCGACGACAGTGGTGAAGGGGCGACGGCGTCTGCGAACCCGGTCGGCTCCAACTCCAACGGCTCTGTTCCATCTGTTGTTCTTCTGCTTGGTAATGGTAAGGTTGGTAGCGTAAATCTCACATGCTGGATGATTTTGAAGAGATATTTGAGGCCGTGAATGGAGTACTGATTTGCACTAAAGCTAAATGTAAGATGTGTAAGTCAACTTTGTCGCTAGATCTAGTGCTGCACTTGGTCACTTGAAGAGGCACCGAGAACTCTTGTAGGCGTAAAACCGATCAACGTGATAGGGTTCAATCTAGGCTATCTTACAATCGATGGTTCGTGCATAATCGGGATTATAAACTGAGGTAGCTAGAACCGAACTCTGCAGATTGATTGCTAGGCTTGATTTGCCTTTGGGTATTGGTGATCTGAGATGCATTTGAGGAGTACATTCAACGTGCTCATAACCCTAGGTTTCAGTAGGGTGTCTAGACAGATCCACCACTAGAGACCTTCGTGCTCTATTTATCGAACGTCGTAATATGCTTAAGAATCATATTTTGTCAGTGCATCATCTGTTGCTTTGACATCGACATATGGTGCGGAAATGCTAAGGAGGACTACATTAGTGTAGTTGCTCATTATGTGAGTGCAGATTGGGAGCTACAGAAAAAGGTAATTGGCCTCAGGTTGATTGAGGTGAAGCACACTGGTGAGAACATTTCTAAAAAAATTGCTTGTGTGGTTCAGGAATTTGGTATGATTGACAAGATTTATTCTGTTACTCTAGACAATGCTTCCTCCAATGCTAAGGCAATGGAGACTTTGACACCCATGTTTGCATGTTATTTAGGTTCTGATCCAACACCTACTTCATCAGATCCTAATAAGCGTAAATATAATCTTATGCATCAGCGTTGTGCTTGCCATATCATTAATTTAATTGTGAAATCTGGTTTAAAGAGATTTAAAACTTACACAGAGGATTTTAGAACTGCTATTAACTTCTTAAATTCATCTAATCACAGAATTGCCATGTTTAAGAATTATTGCAATGCTCAGGGTGTTAGACCTAGAAAGTTTGGTTTAGATATGGATGTGAGATGGAATGCTACATACCTTATGCTTAAACACTTGCTACCTTACAAGGAGGTTTTTTCTGTGTTCATTAATGCAAATTTTGGCTGCACATTGTTGACTCCAAGACATTGGCTCATTGCTGCCAAGATATTGGAGTTCCTGGAATTATTTTATGAATCAACATGTGTTCTATCTGGTGTTTACTATCCAACTAGTCCACTAATTCTGCACCATATGCTTGACATTGCTCATCATTTGCATGAAAGTGAAAAAGATCAAAATCTAATGGCTGTTGTCTATCCTATGAAGCTTAAATATCTTAAGTATTGGGAAAATATACCTCTGTTATATTCTATTGCTTTCATTCTTGATCCTAGAGCTAAGTTGAGAGGTTTGTTTAATGTGCTGGTAATACTTAAAGAGAACATTGGTGTTGATTACAATAAATATTATGCTGATGTTAAAACTGAAATTTACAAGTTATTTGCCAAGTATGACAGCAAGTATGGTTCTACAAGGTCTCAAAGGCCTGTACATCCTGCAGTCAACTCAGGTAAGAGGAAACAAGCATGGGGAAGGATCTTTGGCGGCCCTGGATCATCAGCTGTTGTTGGTCATCCTCCCCCTGCCTCTGTCTCCACTTCAACTCAATCTGCTGCCTCTGTTGCTTGTGAGCTCACAACTTATCTGGATAGTGACAATGTCACTGCATATGAGGATGATTTTGATTTGCTTCTCTGGTGGCGTGACCACAAACTAACCTATCCTGTTCTTTCTATAATGGCAAGAGATATTATGGCTGTTCCTGTTTCTACTGTCTCTTCAGAATCATGTTTCAGTTTAACAGGAAGGATTATTGAGGAGCGGCGTCGAAGACTTCTGCCTGAACATGTGGAGATGCTTGCTTGCATCAAGGACTGGGAGCTGGGTGATAGAAGACTTCAACATTCTACTGACAACCAAGAGCTGGCAGAGTCCTTTGAGAATCTGTATCTTGATGTTCCTGAAGATGGATCTGGGCCTCCTTCTGCTAGCACATCTGCAAGTGCTTCTGTTGCTTCTGCTTCTGCTGCTACCTGAGAGCTGAGAGTTGAGAGTTCAGTTTGAGAGAGTTGAGATTGAGACCTGTGAGGCTTGAGAGTTGAGACATAATGCTTGTATCTGGTATTTGTATTGTGAACATTTGAACATTATAAGAGCTGTGCTGCACTCTTTTTTTCTTTTTGGGGTTTCTCACAAGGGTGAGTTTTACCCAAAAAGGTTTTTAATGAGGCAGCATTGCACACAGCTCATTTCTATCTTTAAATCTCTGTCTTTTGTTGTGTTTGAGTCTTGCTGTTAAGTTGTTAAATAGTTAAGTTGTTTTTGTGATTCTGTGAATGACTTGTCAAAATTATGAATGTGCTGTTGATTAAAAATCTGATGAGTGGTTTTCTACAATTTGGGTTGTGGGCTGGCACGGCCCGCAAGTTTTGGCCGGGCTGTGCGGGCGGCACGGCCCGAATTTCAGCCCGAGGGGCCGTGCTTGGGCTGTCAACGGGGCACGAGGCCCGGTAAGGCACGGCACGGGGGGCACGGCGTGCCGTGCCGGCCCGACACCAGCGGGCCGTGCCTGGCCCGTGCCCGGGCCGTGCCGAGCCGGGCCGGCCCGGTGGCCATATATAGTTCCACCACATCGGAAGGTACCTGTTCCACCCGTCCAACAAGGTGTGGAAGATGATCCAGGGTACTACACGTCGTACATGGCCAAGTTCGATGAGAAGATTGGGCTTCAGATCACGACCCTCGCCTGGAACCCCGTGTCGACGGAGGCGTACTTCAACCAGATCGCGGCTTGCACGAGCCAGGAGAAGATCCTGCCCGAGGTAGATCCCAAAGTGGCGTCGAGTGAGCACGAGGCGGCTGCGACGTCGTCCAAGGCGGTGCTCGTCAGCTCGGCGCAGCCGGAGTACGCCGAGAGGCTCAAGTCCATGTACTACGAGCACGCCACGGTCACCGGCGAGCTTGTCAGCGTGCTGCAGCCACCGGGAGCCGGAAACCAGCCGCAGAACCACAAGGTGCTGGTGGAGATGTTCCTGCAGAGCTACTGCGACGTGTCCGTGGTGAGCGGGTGGTCAACGGTGGGCTACGTCGGCCACGGCCTCGCCGGGTTGAGCCCGTGCCTGCTACTGCCGCCGACGAACCAGACGGTGCCACACCCGCCCTGTGTCCGGGCAATGTCCATGGAGCCGTGCTTCCACGCGCCGCCGAGTTATGACTGCAGGGCCAAGACAAACGGCGACCTCGGTGCCGTTCTCCGGTATCTCAAGCGTTGCGAGGACGTAGATGATGGCCTTAAATTGTTTGATTGATTTTGATGAAGTTTGATCAGATCCGATCAAGTACGTAACATATCATTGTTTTTTCCAGAAGTCAGATTCGAAAGAAATTTCTGAATAACTTATCTTCTTTTCTTAAACAGAATTGCTAAACCTCAACCGGTTGATTTGGCCTCTCCAATCAACTGATTTATACGCCATCTGATCTTACGTGGACGGCTAGCAGGGGGCGCGGCCGACGAACAGGCGAGACACGCGTAGTCAGCGAGGGCCGGCGAGGCAGCAGGTGTGGCCAGCCTTAGAGCTCGCGGCCCCGACCATGGCGGGTGTGCGGCCCGGCGGGCGCGGCACGGGGCCGGTGACCGGCGACGAGGAGGGCCAATGGCCGGCTACGAGGAGGCCGACGAGGAGGGCCGCCCCCAGGCTGGATCACCGTTGCTACTTCTTCTCCGGATTCTGTTTGCATGCGCATTCGACGGAAGGGAAGGGAAGGGAAGTGCGCAGGCAACGGAAGGGAAGGGATAAGGTTGGGGAGGTGGGTCCCACCATAAATTGGGAAATTTTGTTTTGAAATTTATGAAAAATTTGTGAATAATTTGAAATATATTTCTCTGGTATCTGCAATTCATAAAAATAATTTGAAAGTATTTCTGAAAAATTTGGCATATATTTGTGTTATCTCCAAATTACACCACCGTGTTCAATAAATTACACTAAAGAAATCATTGTAAATCTAGTAATAAGACAGTGTAAATATAGCTAGAAGACACTGTAAGTACATGGAAAAAATTCAGTTGACAGGAGGAACGAAAACAACTGAATGTCACATAGACAGATCCTTCTTAAATTGTTTTTTTTTTTGCTTGGGACTTGGGAGGAAGTTGTGTATATGCAACTCCACGGTCTAAAAATTGTGTTTCTCATACAGCTTATGCAATTTCTTGAACTGCCTTTCAAAGTAAACAAACAACAATTTTGTCATGTCTGGAAAGGAAAGTAAGATTACCCAAGCTAGCTAGATTACAGCAATCAAAATAAGTCATGTTGCATGCTCCTAACAATATTAGCACAGTGGTCAGAGGGGCAACTCAATGGTGATCGATATAATCTACAACATGATTAGAGTAAATTTCAGAAACACTTCTACAGTTATGTTCGAATTGTAACCTATTTTCTACGGGAGTACATTTACAAATAAATCATGCCAAAGAATTTAGCACAATATTATCAATGGAAAGGAATGTAACTTTCAATGTGTCTTCTTCCTAGACACGAACATGGCCACTATGGACCGTGGAAAGAGTGACTTCCGTGGCTTTGGCTCTTTCACCCTAGTTGCTCCTATAGTGTCAGCTCTAGACAATGTTCCAACCATGTGAGGATTGGAGGTTGACGATGCTGCATCAAAAGACAATGAAGTGCTCTTCAAATTGGGGATGTCAGAAATGGCATGGCCTGACTCGCCCGCTTTCCTTTGCTGCTCATGCTTGGCCCTCCGCTTCCTCAGCTCGTTCTCCATGGTGAGCTTGCCATATTGCGCTGAATTGGCTTTCTCCTGCGCAGCCCTTAGCTCCAACTTCCTCTCATAGATCTTCTTGGTCGACTGCTCTAGTTGATTCAAGCTCCTCACCTCTGCATCCTTGGCTTCTTTGATTTTCTCAACAGCCTTGATGACCCGCTTCTTGGCGAGGCCTTCAGCATCTTGGGCTTTCTTGCTTAAGGCATCATACTCTTCAAGTGATAATGTCATATAGTTGTCGCTTATCCGTTCATCTTGGGGCTCTATTTGTGCTTCATCATTGTATTCTTGCAATGCATTTGCTGAGGCGGTCGCAATTTCTTTAGATGCATTCACTGCAAGTATCTCTCTTGATGCCGCTTCTAGCCTCAATTTGATGACATTAAATTGTGCCTTGACTTGATCCACCTCTTCACTAGCTTTTGCCACCTCATAACGGGCCATCTGAGCCTTAGCCTGTGCTTGTTCCACTACTTCAGTTGCTTGTTGTAGCTCTGCAGGCATCTTAGATGCTTTTGTTCTTTCATGGACGATGTTGAGCTCATATGTCATGTTGCTTTGCTCTTCCTGGAGTGATGACACAGAAAGCGAAGCGAGGTGCTCTTTGTGTTTCAATGCCAACAGATCTGCCTCCTCCCTCTCTATTTCAGCTCGTAATGTAGCAGCAACATTCCAAAGTATTCTGGCATCATCCTTGGCTTTTTTAATGTCCGCCCTCATGTCCTCAAGCTCCTTCCTAGCATTTGCTAGCTTCATCTTGGTCATAACCATTGGTCTCTCTGCATCTCCATCTATACTAACCTCTTGGGGACATTCCCCTTTCAAATAACTAGAAAACTCATCTTGCAACTTCACGAGTAGTGTAGAGGCAGCTTTCAGCTTAGACTCGAGATCTTTGTTGACTGAAGCCGCATCACGCATACTTTGAACCTCCTCATCAACTTGCCTCAGTTCATTTTGCCAATTCTCCTTTTCTTGTTGATATGCCAAAGCAACATTCAATTTTTGTTCCTCTGCTATAATATGAGTAGCTTGTGAAGAGGTGAGCAACTCTTTCAATCTGATAATTTCGAGGGTAAGGTCATCCACAGTTTTCTCAATCTTCTGAGATGCAACACTGGATTCGCATGCTTTTGTTTCAGCATTGTCCCTTTTAGTGTTTATGGATGTGTACTCCTTCTGAAGTTGTTGTAGCTCATCCTTCACTAAATGTAGTTCTGCCAACGCACTAGCATAGCGATATCTTGCAAGCTCAATTTCTGCTCTTGATGCAGCACTCTCTCTACAGGCAATTCCCTGTTGAATCTCTTTGAACCGTATATCAGCCAACTCTGAGTCTTGCTGTGCTTGTATTGCCTCAGTTTGCGTCTTCTCCAAATTTAGCTTCAACCCTTCTATGGTTCTCCTAGTGGTACACAATTCCATTACAACTTTGTTTTTCTCAACTTCTGCAGCTTCCGCTCTTCTTTTGTACTTAGGAGCATCTTCTAGTGCCTTGTCAAGCTCATTTTGGACATTCTTACGTCTCTACACAAAACAAATGGAATGGAAAGACATGCTAATTTCATAAGTTAACACGAAACAGAAAAACAATGGTATTGAGACATTCAAAGAACATATTAGGAGAATAGACATTACCTCTTTCCAGTCAAGAATGCCTCCAAATTTGCTTACAGCCTCTTTAACAGATTCTATTGGTGCTCTAGTGTCAACATGCACCCTATTATCTATAGATTGAATGAACCGCTCAGCAATCTCTGCCGCCTTATAAATGTTTCTTTCAGCAGAGTTAGGGCGACTTTCTACCTTTGGTTCACCCAAGTAATGGCCGTTCTCCTCTCCTTTGTTTGCATATAAATCATTAATTGCAAGGCGACTTAAATCTTCACTAAAATGTCTAGAGTGACTACTTATGCCCTTCCGTTCAATCTGGTCATTACAATTTTGCACTCCATTGTTCAAACGCAAATCATTAATTGAAAGGGCACTTAAATCCTCACTTAAATGTCTACTATGAACAACCGGGGCACTTTTAGTGAAATCAAATGAAGCAGGAGGTTCTAAATCAATCAAACTTGCCACTAAATCAACATATTCAGAAGGAACAGATGTCTGTGGTACATTTTCCACATTCACTTCATTCATTGTGCAGGATACAGGAGGTTCCGAATCAATCAAACTTGCCACTAAATCGATAGATTCAGAAGGAACAGATATCTGTGGCACATTTTCCACATTCACTTCATCCATTATGCAGGATGTAGGAGCTCACTGAGTGGTCGATTCAGAAATTTATCATGGATATACTTGACATAGGGTACCTGGAAAGTAATCACCATGTTACATTATAAAAGGAAGTGTTTTCACAATTCCGACTCATGGTTCAAGAAAATTACTTATATAATATGTAGTCTCACAATGTTTCCCCAACAATAAAAAAGAAATGGGTTGCTTTATAAAGAAAACATTTTGATTAATTTTGTGAGTAAACTCCTCTTCAAATTTACCATATATATAATTGTATATTTTTTTCTTAAGAAAGTGTAGTAACTCTGTCAAAATAGTCCATGTGCACTGACTCTAACAACAAGAAAAATAAGGCTGATCAGATCAGTTGCAATTTCATCTACTAAAATTATTGGGAACATGCATTTTTCATTAAAATGGAAATGATATATATTTGGGTTTGCTTTAGTATGCCACTTTTTGAAAATTCTACAATTCATGAGTGAAGTAATAAGGAAGGACAAATCTGAGCAACACCCCCACACACTATTCTACGCATAGTATTCGATACGCCCGCAGAGCGCCGCTATCCTTCAACGACACCTCTCAAACGTAAAACCACATCCACCTAACGGTTTATAAATATCCTTATTTACTACATCCTCTGTGCTAAAAAGGTCACCACAATAAAATGACAGAAAAACTACTACTTGTACGTAAGAGTAAATTTAAACATTAAAAAATAGTAAGCATTTCTAAATGGACGTTCTCTCCCACAACCATGAACAACGATGTCCAAACCGTAAAACACTCAGATTACTGTCATAAATAATAAAGTATTATTTTTTATCCATTGAGATAAATCTATTAGAAAATCTCGGTAATCACGTCAATGATATTACGAGAAAACCTCAATTGAGTGTGCACCCTCTCAATTATCATCCCAATCTACAACCCCGCAACTGGAGTAGCATCATAATGCCACATATGATCCCCACATTCAATGGGGTTCTCATCATGGATCTCATACCATGCGGGCGCCACCACGCCCCGATTGACCCTGTCTTTCTGCTACCACAGTAGTGGGCTAGTTCGACGCACCTCAGCGCACCGTTTCCGTAGACCTGTAGTTCGTCATGGTCGCCTCGAGTTGTCAACTCGGCCAGCTAGTGGAATCTCCTCCGTTCAACTACACGCCGGAGGAGTCTCCCCTAACCTCTCACGAAGAAACACCCTAACTATGAATTTTGTATCGCCATTGTTCCGCTCTGAGCATATCCCTTGATTTTGACTACATGTAGTCCTTTATTTGATTTAGGAACTAAATTAATCCCCCATATACACTATAGTTCGCTCTTCTATTGTGATTCTTAATCTATGTCAGATAGATTCCACTCAAATTGATGCATTATGTACATGGCATATGATATTTTTGTGATTTATTGATCACTTGATTTTATCACGAGTTGTCCTGGTGATTGCACAATAATTGTCTTGGTAATTGCATGACCAACACAATCACCACTAAGACACTAACACCTACATCAATGTTGATACACATATATCACCTAACGATTATTTTTGTTTTTGAAAACCTAATCAGTCATATCCTAATATTCCAAATGTACAACTAGAGATAAACCAGCTAATAACCAAGCATTCAATTCTTTGGTTTCAAAATATGCTAGTCCAAGCTGCACAAACCTACACACACACACAGAGATATATATATATATATATATATATATATAGTCCAAGCTGCACAAACCTACATATACACATCTACCAGACATATTGGCTATTGTCTTTTGTTCGCGGAGAATTTCGTAAGTACCTCATTGAATTGTTCAACAAACACTTTTGTAAAGATGATCCACCTATCCCACCATAGATTAAATCAAGAGATGACTATAGTGCCTATCTACGGTGCAAGGAGATGTGCTTGATCGATGTGATGGTGAGGAACCTGATCCATCTTTTGTTGGTAATGCTTCCTTCAACATGAATATCACTGAGGTAAGCTTAACATTACCATGTTTTCTAATAGTAATTGACTAAAGCATACCCCGCGCGTTGCTACGGGAATTGCGGATTAGTGGATTGCATTGTATGATGACGTGGACAACAAAATGCTCATGTGTCTTGTTGACGTGGATATTACAGTTGCATGTGCTAGTTGCATGTGCTAGTGGATTTAATTGTATGTGACCGTGCATTACCTAGTTAGACAGCTTGCATGTCGAGATAAATGGCTAGTGGGGTTTTGCTTAGTGGATTTTAATTGTATGTGGCAGTGCATTGCCTAGTTGGACAACTTGCATGTTGAGAAGAATAGCTAGTGGGATTTTGCTTTATAAGAGTAAGATTTAGTTTGCTCAAAATGTGTTTGAAGGTTAATTCAATTGTTATCATATAGGTTGTATCTGATGTAGAAGGCGTCAATATGAGGTGTGTAGCGTGTTTCATTCTCATGAACATAGGTGTAAAGCTAAAGAACTAGTTGATAGCTGCGACTACTTGACCCTCCAAGATTGAGGGTCACACATTTGTATTGAAACTATGATATCTACACGAACAACATGAGTCACTCGCCATGTCTTTAAACGATTATTCTTAGGGTTTTTGTTACTACTAGGCAAAAATCCATTTGCTTAATAAAAAATGGTCTGTCTAGTTGAGTTAAAATATCTTATATGCATAATTTTACTTTTATATGGCTTGCCAGGATAAAAGAAATGGCTAGCCGTCGACAAGAATTACGGCCATTTACGGCCGTGCACCCATTATTGAACTAAGATTACTACTATTTGGCACTACCTGAGTAAAATCATATATTTTATTGATATGGTCTGTGTTTGTAGAATAAATTTATAAACTATTTACGTGAATCATCACAAATAAATTTGTGGGAACACGTTGAATAAAATTGAACACACAATGCGCAAAATAGTGGTACAATGTGCTTCTTGTTTAGAAAAAATCACGTGCACATTCAATTTGTAGTAATAATGGTTTGCAATCCTCCCTGTCCTTAGAATTGTCATCCTAAAGTAAATTTCCTATGATAAAAACAATTGTATTTCTGAGGAGGAGAAGAATCGACTTTGTTCTCAAAACACAACAAGTTCACATCACCCGTAATGCACAATGCTAGATAAATCCATGCAATTTTTTTTTTTTGCCCAAACTGAATACGGACAGGTGAATTCGAACAACAAAATATAACAACTCAACTAATCAATCAAAAAGATACAGGAGAAAGGCAATGTGCAATACCTCATTGAAATCCCTTTTCATTATCTCCCTTCATGGCATGTGGTTTCTCGACGGTAAGCGAAGAAGAAAAAACATATATGTGCCAAGTTGGGAAGAGAAGGAAAAGAAGTGGCAGGTAGGCGTTGCCGCATGGAGAAGGAGCAGGAGCAGACCAAAGGTAATCCCGACTATTTTTGGGATGGGGCAGCACCTTTGCTCCGCAATATTCCCTCCCTCCTAGATTAGGGGAGAGCCGGGGAGAAATATGGACCCATAGGCCCAAAATACACTCCGAAATTGAAGCTAGGGGGAGAGAAAATCGTGTGCTACCCTAGAGAGCTTGAGAGCAATATCTGCCACAATCCAGCGCCCTGGTGTGCCCCCACCACCAGTCACTACACCTCCCTCTAGCCTTGCCACTTGTTGTTACTTCTTGAAACTTTGTCACTACTAGTCACTTGCCTCCATGCATCACATCAACCTCCCCTCAAATTGTATGTCCTACTGCTCTCGCGACCTCAAATCACTGACCTATTTGCTTCTTCCCACCTCCTATGCTTGCGACCATGTCATTGTAATCATATGGGGGAAACAAAGTAAAAGAGGCAGGGATATTATGACCTCGCATATGCAAAAAAAAATCACCATATCATCAATGCCAAACTTTTTTTATTCTATCAGAACGTTTTCATGCTTTTTAAGTAGCATTTTTTTCTTCGTATAAACATTCCCATTTGAGAAAAAAAAAATATTCCACCAAAGTGGGGCTAGTGTTTACGTACTCTAGATGGGAAGCTTTACCACTCCACTTCCGCTCATCGTCCCACTATTCGATTGGACAACTCATACGGGCAGATGGTGTTGAGTCATATCATACCGCTTCCCGCCCGCAGCGTCCCGGGCGGTTTAGTTTCACCTCCTAAACTTTAGTTATTATCCTCTTGGATGTTCGACACATGCATAGAATATTAAATATATATTATTTACGAATTAAATACATAGATTGAGATTAATTTGCGAGACAAATTTATTAAGCCTAATTAGTTCATGATTTGACAATGTGGAGCCATAGTAAACATGTGTTAATGACGAATTAATTAGGCTTAATAAATTCATCTTGTGGATTACTGAGAACTTTTATAATTTATTTTTTATTAATATCCAAACATTCCATACAACACCCGATGTAACACCTCTTAAAATTTTAGTTGTCGCATCATGCACAATGATCGATCTCACCGAGAAAAGGAAAAACAAGTCGGATCCGGGCCTTATTTAGATTGATATTAGAAATCAGTATTTAGCACTGTAGCACTTCGTTTGTATTTGATAATTATTGTCCAATCATGGCCTAACTAGGCTCAAAAGATTCGTCTCGTAATTTATAATCAAACTGTGTAATTAATTATTTTTTATCTATATTTAATACTCCATACATATATCTAAAAATTTGATGTGATGGAAAAAAAGTGAAAAAACTTACTATCTAAACCAGGCCCCGGCGACATTGCACAAAAAAAAAGTACAAACCGGACCACCTATGACAGGCTCTGCATGTGCCTGGCCTATGCACGTGCATCCTCTTAGCTCTTGCGCCCGCGCTTGAGCCTTGGACACGCACGCACACACACATGCCATGCCTTGCTGCGACCGCCGCTGTCCAAGACATCACGTAGTTCTGTGACTAAACGTGATAGACTGATAGCAAGACACGCGTACTGTCCTGGTTACTAGTACAGCAAGGAAAGGTCTGATAATAAAAATAAATA